GAGACACTGTTGTCTACGGTACAAGAAAAACTTGATTTATTCATATGTATTTATTCCTATAATTTTTATTATCCTCAAAGTAAACACTATTGTGCTTACAAGAATCTGTAAGTCCACACAAATACAGTCTCCCTTCCCGGTTGATATCCCCACCTTCAACTTCCTACCTATAGCCTCTTTGGTGTTCCTTAAACACAATTAGCATGTGCCCACCTCTTGGCCTTTGTACTTGCTGTTCCCTTGCCTGGAACATTCTTCTTCCTTTTATAGGCATGCCTCTGCCTGACCTCTTTCGGGGCTCTGTCCAAGAGTCACTTTATCACTGAGGCCTTCACTGACCTCCCCACCACCCCCACTTTAAAATACTACCACATCTACTTCTCCCAATCCTTATTCCCGTTTGCTTTAGCACTTACCACCTGACACACTTTGATTTTACTCATTTATTTGTTTACTGTCTTCCTCCATTCATTAGAATATGAGGTCTAGGAGGGCATGCATTTTTGCTTATTTTGTTCAGGGCTGTTTCCTCAGTACCAAGAACATTGCCTGGCGCTCAGTGGGTACTAGAAAACTATTAAGTGGATGAGTTAATGAATGCATGCAAAAGGAGTCACTGGACAATTACCATATGCCAGCTACTGTGCATGACAAAAGACATTTGGTGTGAAGAAAGAAGTAACTAGACGATTACAGTACTGTTGGTAAATTTTATGAAAGAAGTGCTGTCATAGGGGCGCTTTGAAGAACAAAAGAAGGAGACCAGGCCCACAGGTGGGGGCACTGAGCTCTAAGTGATGGAATGGGTAGAGGAGAGAGGACCAAAGAGAAGTTGCAGGAATAGCCAGCCAGAGGTACAGTGGTGCAGAGACGCAAAAGCATGCCTCCTGTGGTGAGCTACCAATCTTACAAAAGCTCCTGCTGTTCTCAAAAGCTATGGAAAGCCATTGAAGAATTTTTCAGTAGAGGAAAGGTAAGAACCCATTAGCCTTCTAGAAAGCTCACTCAGGCAGCACCGTGCAGAGAGGTGGAAGGAGACTAAAGGCAGAGTGGCCCTCAGGTGGACGCCCATCAGCTAGCTGGGAGAGAAGAGGGTTTGAACAAGGGCATAGTGATGCAGTGATGAAGAGGGCAGGCTGGAGAGATTCTTGAGTAATTATCTGATATACTTGAGCAGGAAGGGGTAAAGGATCACTCCCAGGCCATGAGTCACACACTTTTTGGAGGAGGCAATCACCAAGTAGGACGATCGTATTTCTCTGACTTACTTGCTCACCATAGTCCACATATTTTACAGTATTTAAAAATGGAATCTAGCAGGGGTGAAGGTAAACAGGAAAGAAAATCAAGGGCGCTGTGTAATTTCTTTCTTGTTTATAAGTTTTAACATTGCATAGCCCTCCATGGCCTCTTCCAAAAAGATCACAAAAATTTTGGTTTTAAAATTTGTCTGCAGATGAGTGATGTTATTACTCCGCACTTGGAATTTTTCAGTGGCTCATTTGGTTTTTATCTTTTGAATACATCACCTAGAACCTGTACCAAAATAAGTGTATTTTAAGGTTTAAATTATAGTTTACACTTCTGGAGGTAAACTTAAAGAAATACAGTTTAATATGTTGAGATTATATATGGTGCACAGTTTTTAATCTTGAGACATATACACAGAAATTATTTTGAAAAATGAAGAGACCAGATTGTTCCCATTTAAATTGAGCCTCTACAAAGTATATGCAAACATAACAGTGCCCACCAAAAAATATCTAAAAAAGAACAATTTATTGATTAATAAAAATGGAATGAAAAATTGACTCTTTAGTCTGGAAAAATATTTGATCCAAACTTAAGTCATGGAGACAATAATAATGGAATTATTTTAGAAATCTTAAAACACTAGAACAATTGGCTTTAATTTTAGGAATAATAAAAGGAATAATTTGACTAGTGAGTAATGAACTTACGACATTGTTCATCTGAGTCATTATTCATAATGACTTTTGATCAGGCTGAAAATATAAATAAATTTAAGAGGATTAGATAGGTTAGTGAATGGTTGTATGGCATTTGCCCGTTACTTTATTAATTTATATTTGTTCTAGAAGTCACAAAACTAGACAAATGTAAACATCTTAACCGACTGGTAGCAACATACTTTAACTTCAAAATCAATTTTTTTTAAAGATTTTATTTATTTATTTGCTAGAGAGAGAGAAAGAGCACGCAAGCAGGGGGAGTTGCAGAGGGAGAAGCAGGCTCCCCGCTGAGGAGGAAGCCCCACGCAGGGCTGGATCCCAGGACCCTGGTGTCATGACCTGAGCCGAAGGCAGATGCTTAACCGACTGAGCCACCCAGGAGCCCTTAAAATCAATTTTTGAGCAGTGAAGCTTTTATTTGTAAACTTAAATTTAATGACCACAATGTCATAGGTATATAATGGTTTTATTAATCTAAGGACACTCAAAACACATTAAGCAAAATCTTGATCAGCAAAATAACTCTTTGGGGTGTGTGTGTGTGTGTGTGTGCGTGTGTGTGTCTATACTTACTCGAATGTATGTCTGTGCCTTATATCCAGCTTCAGTCTATTCCCACTCCCCTGCTAGTAACAGATGACACTATCCTTGGCTTGCTACCATTTTTCCCGCCAGTGAGATCTAAGGACTATATGCACATTTTTGGTAGCTGAGAATATATCCTTGGCAACTTCGTTATGAATAATCCACAAGACATGTATTCACAGTTCAAAGTTAATGTTACATCTTTAAAACCGCTTTTATTTTTAGAGTTTAGCAAAAATAGAAGTAGTTTCCTAACCGTGAAGAAAAATTTTGTATTTATTTTCTCTATAGCTATCTTTTGATTTTCATGAAATATTGTGTTAAAATAGACAATATAATTTTGTAGATTTCACGGTTATGGGTAGTCTTTCTGAATCTTTAATGTGGTCATGCAACAGAGACCAAATTAGAAAATGCAGAAATGTCAGTCTCTAGTTAAAACACTTGATTTCAAATTTGCTCTGATTTTTCTATGAAATATTCCCTTCCTGGGTTATCCATCAATGTAGTGAAAAACTCAACTGTACTGCACAATCTTTTTTCAAGTGGCAAAGTTAGGTTTAAATGGAAACAAACCTTTTTGAATTGAACATTTCCATTCTCAGTCTAAACACTGAATTAATGTACTTTTTGTTATATGATTTCCTTTCTAACATCAACATTTTAAGAAATGAAATGCCCTAGAGATGCTGGGGCAAATGGAATCATAGACCATGATAAAACCCAAGTCTTCTTCGACTCTCAGCTCTCCCATCGCTACAACTTCCAAATTCTGCCTTTACTTAACATTAGCATTCACTTCCCAAACAATTTACCCAAGTGAGAGATGATTAAGCCTGTTTATGTGCTAAGGGGAAGGAACTAGTGGAAAGAAGGAGGCTCTGATACAGATGCATGGATAATTGATGGAGAAAGATCCCCGAGGACAGAGACAAGGATGGATTCCAGAGTCTACTGGATGCATCTGCCTGCAGAAGAGGGATGCCTCTTCTCCCTCTGACATAGGAAGGAGGTCCACGTGGGTTTGGATTGATGAGAGACATAATGTTGAGGGAATTTACACCTGATAGCCTCTATTTTCTCTGCAAAATCTGAAACAGGGAGAATTTTAAGTAGAAGGGGCGAAATGGGGAGGGAGGCTGTCTGACTGCACAGATATACCAGATAACCAGCTCATTAAGAAGTTAGTCAGTTGAGTAAATAAACAAGGAACATAGAAAGGTGATATTGCACAGTGCGCTTTCAACAACCTAAAGCTGATTTTATGAGGAAATTCTTAGTGTTCCTGTGAGGATTACAAAATAATTTATGAGGAACAGATTCTCTGAATGTTCCTAAACATGGTGTATTTTTAATAAAAAAATTATGCATGACTAATTCTCCCTCTAATGTGCACTCTAGTGCTTTCTTTAATAGTACAGAGTATGAATTAAGATGCTGATTAACTGAAATGTCACACATTGAAAATAGGCTAGCCATTCATTAGGTGTAATGGAATACAGAGCCAGTTAACAGGAAGTAATAGAGTAAACTATCATTTACTATCATTTATAAAGTATAACTTTGTTAAAATATACTAAAATTAAAAGTATTTGTAAAAAGAATTAGAAGAAAAATGCTCAATATTTTATGTAAAAATAGACATAAATAGTCAGAATTATAGCTGGATGTCTTTGTGCTCTTTTCCACCATCCCAAAGCTTCGCCTAATTCTACATAAAGCCAACAGAATCCCAATGCTGACTTTGTGGTTGAAAAACAGCTAAATCTCAGAACTGCCGTATTTCCATTTTATATGTAAATATTCCCATCCATCTTCCTAAATATTCTATTCCCCCCACGCGCCCAGTATCATAGTTATCGACAGCTGACAGCATCTTTTGTTTCCTTTCCTGGTACACCCTAGGTGCCACAGTTGACCTTGGCATCCCCTAGTTTGTAAACGAGTTTTTGTGCCACATTTCATAAGAGGAAGAATAGACAAAACATGTTTCTTTGTAATGCTATTCAATGATTCCCTTTGCAAATCTGCTTCCTGAAGTTTTGCAGATGCAGAAGTCACATAATGTGCTGCTTGCTGGGGAACTGCATTGCATTTTCACTGCTTCTAGCAGTAACATCTCCAGCCTCTTCTAAATGAGATTGAGGTGGTAGATGTACAGGTATTTGAAGAAACAGATGCACCAGAACAGCAAAGATTCTTTTTTTAAAGGAAAAATCAGAATCTAACTGCATATGCTTAATGGTCTTCAAAAGAAAACAAGAGAGAAGAAAAGACCTATTGTGTACTTCCAACCAGTAATTTCCGTTTTCCCCGACATACAAAACATCAGCATATTTCTGCACAGCATGGAGAACCTTGCAGACTAGGACAGTTTTAATTGGCCGTTTAAGTTTAAATGGTTACATTAGTATGTTAATTGAATAATTTTTCTATTTTTAGGGTCCTCTGGGGCCTCCAGGACAAAAGGTAGAGTATAAACAGTACTGGGGAAGTAATTATACTTGCATTGCCTAATGCCTAGCATGAGAGGTGAATAGAATTAGCTACTGTAAGCCATGCTGAAGCATCTGGATTGTGCATTCTCCTTTCTAAAAATACAATCATTTAATGTGAGCCATTAGATTTCTAATCACCTCCATTATAGAAAATCCAATAAATCCAGAGTAAATTCTTTTTAAGCTGTCTGTCGAACTTTAGGTTATTGAATTTTTAATTAAAATACTGGCAAAACATTGTGACAAAACTTAGAATTTGAAAGGTCATATGACATTGCAGACTGAGTGCATGGTCCTGCTCAAGGATTATGACCAAATGATCGTAGAACAGACCAGAACAAAAGATGTACTTGTTGTTTGGTGACTGTATTCCATTGGTCCATTAGTGTTTTCCTTTGCTGAGGTAAGCTGAAAAGTGACTTCCTGATTGTCATTTCCCAGTCATCAGAATTCACCATTACATTCTGATGGAGAGGGTCTGGCGCTTCTAAAATTACATCAATACTACAGTAGTAAATATATCAATAGTAGGTAGGTGGCCCTTTGCCAACAAAATATTGCTAAGTCCCCATTCCCTGTTACAACTCCCACCACACAATGGGGAGAAAGGGATATTTAACCTGCAGAAAACTAAAGAAAACAATTGTATTACAACAGGTGGAAAAGTGATTATTCTTTATCTTTGGAATCCATCACAGATAGAGACTTTTTATTCCCCAAGCACTGGGCATGTGGCATCTGTTGAAACATAATCCTACAAACCAAGTCCAAAGCCAATGAGTTGTGAGACAACTTGTGTATAAGAACACTTTGTCCTTCGCAATAATGTCTCTATTAAGCATGGTGTGAAATTGTAAAGCTACCCTAATCCACATGCGACCAGGCTAAAATTACTGCCTGAGGCTTCAGGAAGTCTTTTAATGACCCACTCAATATAATTACCAAAATAATTACCAAAACAGTAAGGAACTTGCCATCTCAATTTGTTTTGCATATAATGACTATATATTTTTTAGTGACTATATTTTTAATAAACTTTCTCTTTTAGAGCAGCTTGAGGTTTATATCTACTCTTTAAAAAAACTTTTTTCCCATTATTATTAAAGAAATTTAATATCATACATCAACTTAGAAAGATCTGTTTTCTAGGGCTAGACAAAGAATAAACATATTTTATTTAAAAATGATTTCTCCAGAGCCTGAAAGGGGGTGACATCACTATCCAAAAACATTTGTTAATGTTCTATATCCAGGTAAATGTCATAGATTTTCTCAGGTGATAATTAGGTTTCTTATTCTCAGTTCACCCCACCTACATCCAACCGTTCGTAATCACCCCAGTGCAGATGTGCACACATGTCTACACACACACACACACACACACACACACACACTCTTAACTTAATATTTGATGTGTTGTGTTATTCCTAGTCAGTGTTTAACATTTGTAACACCTTTTCTAGTCTAGGAAGACATATTCACACTCACCTGGCTTAAATGTACACCCTGAAAGTCCAGGGAAAAATGCTTCAAATACAACAAATTTGAGTGCCTTATTTGACTAATTGTGAAACAAGTGGTTGTTATTTTAATTACCTTTTGTTTTATGGTATTTAAACTCCTGAAATGCAAGAGTTACTGCTACTGCTAGGCTTTTCCAGATGGAACTAAGCCTGTTTATTTCTTAAAAGCACCAAAATTTAGAGCCATGTGGCCTTCTGATAGCTGTGGATCCCAATTTATGATGTGAATTTCTTTAAAATCATATTAGGGATAAGTGGATATTTAGGAACATGGTTAAATTTAACTCCGTAGTTTCTGGGAATGCTTGATGAATCTGCTTACATTATTATATATCTGAATACCATGCATAAGATCTGAAAAACTTAGCCTTTCATACATGTTTTAGCAAGGTAAGGTTATGGCTGACATAATTAATACAATACAAACTTAGAATTGAAATATTTTGTGATTCTATGCTTAATTTAATCATGTGTCTTCTTAGGGTTCTGTTGGAGTACCTGGAATTCCAGGGGTGAATGGTCAAAAGGTAAGTTCTATAGAATATTTTTGATCATTTAAAGGGATTAAAATCACAAAATTATTCTAGTCAGTAATGTTAGTAAAAAGTTTATATACTTATAAAAGCACTACATATACTTTTGAAATGCAGGGAAATTATGTGCAAAAGATCAAACTAATTTAATTTTTAATGATGCATTAAATAGTCAGAAACTCTTAGAAAATTTTCCATTCTATTTTGATAAGTTTTGTAGGAGATACAACTATATCTTTCTTATAAAGTGCATATATATATATAAAATAAATATACATAGAATAGGAAAAATTTTGTGTTTAACATTAATTGTCATAAACAAAATATACTCCAGTTTATTCTTGTCATGGCAAAAGTAACATGTATTATTTCTTTCATTAACAAAAATTCTTACAGAGGGAACCTATTGGAATATTCTGAATTTAGGAGCAAGCTCTTTTTACTGTCAAGAAAAATTAGGGTTTAAATAGACTCGCCAAGCTCTGGTAGTACACTTTTACTGTACTGTTAATAATGAGGGGGAAAATAAAATAAGAAAACCCCACAACTTTACATAGACATATCTATACGTGTGGTTACATCTATTCCTTCAACATACTTACTGGTTGGACAAAGCATCTAGCATCATCCCACAAGTGGGTCTGCTTTTCTATGCTCCCCAATAGTGCTGACTGGCTTTTCAATCTGGAACCTCTACAGAGACCAGGAAAACCATAGGGGCAGCTAACAAAGCCAGTCTACCAGGAGCCAGGAAGCTGAGCTAGGGACTTTCTTGTCTCCCTTAGAGTTTTTGGACTAACCCTATAAAATCCTGTGACCCATCAGCTTGTGTTCAACAGAAAATTTTTAAATCTGTGCACTCTGGATTAAATTCTGAAATCATAAGGAGCCGAATATTTACAGACAGAAGAGACCTCCTAGTGACCTTTCCCATCTTGTCCATCTTTTCTTCTTCAAAAAGATACTAACAATCACCATTTAAAACCTACAGTGGCTAGCAAAAAGCATGAGTCTGCCACTTACAGGCCGCATGAATTTTGGCAAAGTCCTTGAATTCTCTGGCCTCAGTCTCTTCATATGTAAAAGGAAGACAAAAACAGTTTCTACCTACTAGGGTCAATGTGAGGATTAAATGGCAAGTAGACATAAAGCCTTTATGACAGTGGTGATCTTACAATGAAACGTTTCCTTCATTGATCTGTATCTTAAACAAGGTCCTCTGCTTCCATGATTACTCAATTCCCAGTGAAATTGATGTCCTCAACCAAGGCTTATGGTATCCGCTAATCCACAAACCAAACACTGCGCACTCCATGGGAATGAACTGCCCAGCTCACTGCTCTATTTGCCACTTAATAAAATACATATCTGTTTGCTTCACAAATCCTGGTAAAGAGCAAAGATTAACTTTCTATTTAGAATATTTCAGATCATGGAGGGATGCATAAAAATTTGGAAGTATATTCATTCTAAGATGGATTTTAAAGTTATGTAAGTCAAGATAATATTTGGAGAAGACAGATATGGATATAAGAGAAATGTTTTTAACATTGGTGAAGAACAAAGCTTATACCCTTAAGGTTAATGTTTGCTCTGTCTTCTTTGCTTCTTTTCTTTTTTCAACTTTGGGACAATCATGAAAATTTATAGAAACCTTTAACCTGAAACAAAACAACTTTAAAACTGTCACATACATGTTTATGAAAACTGCATATTCTTTATTTTTGCAAAGGAAATATGCAATTTCCTTAGCAAGAGAAAGGAATGTGACATTTTCTTGTCCTAGTCACCAAGTTTAAATTATATTTCAAGAAAATAGACAGTTAATATTTGCAGTTTTATGTCTTGTTATACATCTTTGTGGCATTTTAAAGTGTTTTCTATAGGACCTAGGGAAGGTAAATAATTTCACACTTTTATGACAGTATTAGCAAAATATAGTTTACGATTGTTTTTCCTACTCCATAGAATTTAACCTAAAACTTTGTGGATGAAATTTCTGTTAACACTAGTGATTATCTAACATTTGCAATATTTGCTGTATCATCTCTAGGAAAATAAAGTGCGAAACCATGAGTCCTTCACCGAAACAGCAGATCATTTAGACAGTAAAAACAAAGCTGGAAATGGAGTAATAATTCTGTACTTAAGCATATGACATATGTTTTGGATCTCTACAATTTGTTTTTCTAAGAAAAGAGCTTACAATGACATAATTTTTTAAAGCACCTAAATGTCCTCAAGCTGTCTTAAGAAAACATTTTTTCTACATTACAATTTCACTTTTCCAAAGAAGTACTTTTGTGGCTTAGAAAATATTTTTCAAATAATGGCTAAGGAAGAATATGATTTCTAAGCCATCAGAAATACAACAAATAGCAACTAGAAAATAGAAAGATTTTTCTCTTACAAAAAAGGAAGAAAAATATTTTTAAAAAGTATTTTGTTTTCCATCCAGATTGACAAAATTGGTGATTGGCTTTGGCTAATAAACTTGGTACTGACATTTTTTTTTTTACACTATTTTCCTTCAAATATGGGTCACCTTGACTGCTAATCTGAATATTTCTTATTTTGTAATGGTCTTTCAGTGATTCAGATTGTATTAGGAGAAAGGACTTACATAAGCAGTAACATGGCATTAAACCCAAATCTAGCTTTTTCTGGCATCACAATCTACAAAGGGCTCCTGAACATCTTCTGCAAAATGTGGAAGGCAGTGTGGTATGGAGGAAAAAGTGTGGACTCTGTAGTCAGAATGAATGGGTCAGATCGTAGTTCTCATTTGGGCAAGTTATATAATGTTTCTAAGGCTTAAGTGTAAAATATAAATACAGACCTTGCAGTATTAACTAGATAATGTCTCTAAAGTGAAGGTAATGTTACAGATGCTCAATACATATTATCAAGTATCTGTAGGAATAGTATCACACTGTAGGAGTTTCAGCAAATGAGCCCTAGGTTTACCCTCAAGCAGGGAGAAGAAGCCAGCTGAATCATGATAGGAAGAGTATGAATATGCAAAATTACACAGGAAGGTAAAATGTTTCTCTGTGCCCCGGCTTTTTCCCCACTCACCCGCCCAGGAGCGCTGTCCTGGAGTCAAGATGCTCTGTTTTCTTCCACCTCATGTGCAGCCTTTGAAAGACCCTTTTCCTGTCTGGGCTTAAGGCAGTTGCATTTGTGAAATGAGACCAAGGGCTGTACTAATTTATTTCTAAGTCTCCAAGAGATAAAGTCACCCGTGTCTCATTTTTGATTCAACCAGCTTCTAGTATTCTCTGTTCCCAATTCTGAAAGCTGTTGTTTCCATAATTTAGATTTGTTGCCAGCAGCCAAAGCAGTTAGGGTAGATTTAATACTAAGTCTTACCTAAAAATATGAAATGTTGTCCTCTTCTTCCCTAGCTAATTGTATTGGACACAAAATCTTGTAATTCTCAAGAATAGATCTTGTCAGTCTAGGGTGGCTCAGTTGGTTAAGCAACTGCCTTCGGCTCAGGTCATGATCCCAGAGTCCTGGGATCGAGTCCCACCTTGGGCTCTCGGCTCAGTGGGGAGCCTGCTTCTCCCTCTGACCCTCTCCCTTCTCATGCTGTTTCTCTCTCTCTCTAATAAATAAATAAATAAAAATCTAAAAAAAAAAGAATAGATCTAATTATACCTTTAGATCTTGTCAGTCTAAAGGTATAATTACCATTTTGTTTGTGCTCCATTATTCATTATCCCTCTCTGTCTGTCTGTCTGTCTGTCTCTCACACACACACATGCATACATGAAGAGATGTATATCTAAATATTTGACAATTAAACCCTACTTCTCAGATATAATGGAGAAGTGGGAGCTTTCAAAAATAATTTTGTGGTAGAACCAACTTTTAAACCATCTTTTAAACTATCTTTTTAACTTTTGTCCCTTTGACAAAATTAATTGCTGTCTATAATTTTTGGTAACCAGGTAATGGGTATTAAGGGAGGCATGTGATGTGATGAGCACTGGGTATTATACACAACTAATGAATCATTGAACACTACATCAGAAATTAATGATGTACCTATATGCTGGCTAGCTGAACATCAATTTTTGTATATATGTGTGTATCAGAATTTTTAAAATCTCAACTTTTATTAGGTGGTACTAGAACCCTATATTTTTCTATTCTTTCCACATTTTCACATTAATTGGCACCCATAAAAACAAATCATCATAATGACAATTTACTTGAATAGCAATCAATGCCCAGCACTGGGCAAATACAACTGAAGAGGAGGTCTGGGGACAGAGACAGGGAGCATTAAAAGTGCAGTTAACACCCTTGTCTGTTTGTTACTATGAAAATAATAATAAAGATTTTTAGGATTAAAAACCAATTATTTTGTCTAAGCAAGCTAGAATATTTTTGAAACCCCAGAATCATAGGGATTGTTTCCAAAGCAAAACAAATATCAGAAGATCTTATTCATGGATTTTCCAAGTATTTTCTAGAATTTATTATTTTTAAAACTTCAAAACATAAAATAAATAAAAAATGATGTTAGCGTATCATCTACGAATCTATCCCAGATAGCTATGTAATTTTTAAGGAACATTAAACTTTAATTAATTTATAGTTATGGTATTTAGAATTCCTTTTCATCTCTTATCCATGGATCTCACAGTCTTCACTGACATTAATCCTCACAACATACTTCTAATGGCATTTTTATTGTAAGTGTATTTAGAGAGCAGATAAATTGAAGCTCTCAGACTTCCAAAGGTCAAGCTGTTTATTCAAGTCTATTCAGTGGGCTGTTCAATGAACTCAATATTTTTTATTCTTGATTCACTTACTGTAACAACTAAATACACTCTTTTCTTTGGCTTCCTTGGCTCTATCATTAAGCAGTCTGAATTAAATTCCTGAAGGATTTGAATATAGTTGTTTGTTTTCTGGTTGGTTAGCTTAAAATTTTCCTATAGCAGAATTTATTCAGTGGCCCCATTACCCAATATAGT